GATGGATGAGTGGATGGGTGGAGGGTGGATGGATGGATGGATGGATGGTGGAAGGATGAGTGGATGGGTGGATGGATGGTGGATGCATGGGTGGATGGGTGGATGGTGGATGGTAGATGTTAGATGGTGGATGGATGAGTAGACAGATGGATGAGCTTATAGCCTGAGATCTGCCATACAACAAGCAACTGATCTGTTAGCAACTGTGAAAGTTTGCTCCATCTCTAAGTCCAGGGAGAGGAAGAAGCTGAGAAACGGATAGACACAAAGCGGCCACTTAGGTAGCACTTGACGTGTGCCGGGTCCTGTGCAGCCTTTTCTCATGTGGTCTCCCTGACAACCATGCCAGGCAGGTGTCRTGATGGGGACCATTCCACAGGTAAGGAAAAAAAAAAAAACACAGAGAGGCAAAGCATTCTAGGCAAGTTCACACAGCAAGCAAAGACCACAGGAAGGATGCCACCCAGACCTAGATGTCCCCCAGGGCCCCTGGTGTGACCAACACCCCTGCYGTTTACCTCGGGATCCGAGTAGATGTCAGGGTCTCTCTGGGGACTCAGGAAGGGGAAGAGGAGGAGGCGGTCACCACGTCGCAGAGAGAATTCCCGCCCATCGGCCATGGGCATAGCCATGTCCACCACCACCTCCCGGGTGATGAAGGGTGCAGCYGTGAGCCTGAGGGTCTCATCCAGCACRCTGTCTGCATGGGCAGTGAAGGAAGGGTCAGGTCAGTACGCCATCCTCAGGTGCCATGCCACCCTCATGGGACAAAGGAGGACGAAGAGGCTCAGAGAGGGTACACGCCTTGCCCACAGTCACGCAGCAAAGTGAAAGAGGCCGGATGTGATCTYTGGTCCCTCAGAGACCTTGAATGACAGGGGTCTGGGTCTGACTCCAAGGGAAGCTGTAAGAAAAGCGGGGAGCCAGGGGGACATCAGAGTGCTGGGGGCAGGGGGGTGTATCTTTGCCTGCCCAACATCCCCGTTCTGAAGAGTCCTCTGGCATTCCTCTGGGGACTACCCCTCCTAGTCCAGGAGKCAGGATCCTGGCCCTATTCTTCACTGTGGAACTGGACTTTGATGGGCCAACCAGAGCGCTGCAATTGGTTAAGGATGGGCCTCTGACCCAAAGGGCCAATGAGACCAAGTCTGGGACTTTAGTTAGGAATGATTCCTCACAGAGCAGAAGRCGGTCAGTCTTGAGCTGTGGCAGCCAGCCATCTTGCCAACCCGAGACTGGACCAACCTAGTGGAAAATGGGCTGAGAGGCGAGAGAGAACTGGTCTTGATGACATTATTCAAGCACCTGGATCCACCTGTGCCTGAAGCCAGTTACCTCTGGACTTTTCAGCTCAGTGCCCCAAATAAAGCCCCYCTTCCACTTTGGCCAGTTTATTTTAGATTTTCTGTCCCTTGCAACCAAACATCTCTACTAGGACCATGAGCCTCGGGGCAGGTGAGACGGGAGAATGGAGATGCCAGGACTCCAAAGACAGCAGGCTCTGGGGACCCTGGTCAGAGGACACTGACGGGCCCTCACATCCACGCTGGGAGACAACTCGGGCTGGGGGCTCTCCTGGAGGGTCTGCCATCTCACCGAGCACGGGCATGTTGTCTAGGACCTTCTGCGGGAGGGTGGTCATCTGTGAGCCGGACTGCTCTGCTCTCCAGAGGACGCCCTCGAGCTCCCCGCGGACAGCAGCCAGGGCCTCGGGATTCTTGAGAAGGAAGAGGAGGAGCCAGAAGGCAGCAGGCCCCATGTTTCCCTGCAAGAGAAGGAGCCCGTTGCCCACTGTGACGGCCGGCTGGGCTGGCCTCGGCCGTGGGGGCAGCTCTGGCCAGGGAACGGGGCACTAGCAGGGTCTACCTGCAGCCCAGCCACAGCCAGACTCTGCTTGGTGCTCTGGCCTAGCCCAGGACCTATCTCAGGGCCACTCCTGGCATCGCTGACCTTGAGCAGAATCCTGGACCGAGGTCACGAGGGTGCTCCTCAGAGCCCATCAGCAGGTGTCAGGGACAGGAACACGCTTGTCCGTCAGGACTACTGTTAACATGGGGGGGATGAGCAGGTCGCCGGCCCCAGGTTTCCCCACTCCCTAGATCCGCACCCTTTACCATGTGACTCCCGTTCCTGGGAAGAGGCAGAGCACATCCCCTGTCCTTGAGTCTGGGCTCAGCCCTGGGCTTGCCTTGGCCAACAGAACCAGGAGGAATTGGCAGGACAGCAGCTCTCAGCTGGCCCTAACAGACCTTGTGTGTTCCAGTGCCCCACAAACCCAAGTCCAAGAAGAGATGGGAAACACATGGCCTGCTGGGCCCCATGGGGACCGMGTTGGCCCTCAGACCTGTTAATTAAATGAAGGCTGATCAGAGACGCCACTGGGTCCTGGAGATGTTTGTTACACAGCAGCAGCCAACTGACACACTATCCAAAAAAGTTTGGGACACAAAATTTCCTTATATGCTTTATCTGTCACACTTCTATTAGTCATCTGAAGAACAGGTACATGTGACCATTGTGTTCATATAAAGGAAAATTGACGGTCACTGATGACTCTGAAAACTTCTAAGTTTTAAACAAAGCTTATTTGAAACTTCTCAATAGATAAATAGTTAAGAAAATCCATGAAATTTCTTGCCCCAAGGCTGAACACTTCGGTAAACATTTTRGCCTCAACCACCAGTGACCTAATGTGGACGGAATATGAAAGACCTCAAGTGGAGGAAAGGATTTTGTCCATCATAAATGACCACCCTGCCCAAGTTATAATGAAATATGAAATCGTGACTCAATGTCACATCTCCCCAGGAACCAAGCTCAYGGCAGATACACGTGTGACCTGCACACGGCCAGGTCACATGCACGGGACATCTACTGCTGTGCTAACGTGACAGGGAAGCGTGGGAACGGGCTCCGTGTCCATCCACGGGAAAGCCCTGGGGTGACCGCACATGAAGTCGTCAAACACCCGTGCAGAGCCACCTGTGTGTGGGGACAGGAACTGGCTGTGGCCACCTGAGGAGGTACAGGACCTGGTTGGGAGGGTGCCTCCGGGGCAGCGGGTGGAGGACAGGAGGACGGGAAACGGGGACGCTCTCTCTCCTTACACACTGGAACACTCTGGCGGATGCACGAGGGCGGAGGGTGACTTTACAGTGATCTGCAGTGACATGAGAGGCCCGCRACCCAATGTTGACTCAAGCAGAAGGCGGGGTGAGAGCCAGGGCGTGATCCTGGGGACGGAGATGCCTTCCTGTCCTCCTGTCTGCGAGCTCAGCACTAAGGAGGCGCCCCTCCCCCGCGMCACCCRGCCACGAAGCAGGCGCCACCATCAGGGCCTTTATTCAAGAGGAGAATAGAGGGGTCCTCCCGGCGCCCAGCGTATAGACGGAGACCAGGGCAGCTGGGCCACCCCAGCTCATGGCTCTTAAGAGTCACCTCCGACTCCAGGCTRGAGCCAAGCCCGGCGTGAGGGTGATAAGAGACCCCCGGGTGGCCACGGGGCTGGCGAGCCTGGTGCAAGTGACCCCACGGGTGGCCACATGGCCCCGAGCACAGAGCGGGRAGCTCCAGGGGACACCACTGTGCCGCCCGCCCCTCCCCAGGGTTGAGCACAAGTGGGGACAGCAGGCTGAGACCGCCAGGCCCCTCCCTGTCCATCACTGATGGCCRATGGCCCGGGGAGGGTGGGCGATGAATAATTCAGCGCTGGCTCAGCGCCCAGGCCCTGTTATCTTGCCTGCAGGATCCAAGGGGCCACCGTCCAGCGGGAGGGGAACCCTCGGGCTCCCAGGACACAGCAAGAAGGCGTCCCACCCAACCACAGAGATGTGCGTGAGCGTGCGAGTGTGCAAGCGCACGAGTGTGGCCACACAAGGGATCCCGAGTTCAGCTCCCGTGGGGCCCTGCCTCAGCCGATTCCCTCCTGCTGTGGGGAAGCCCAGACCAGGGGCTGCTGCTCTGTGTCATGGCAGTCCCTCGGGGTCCCGCGAGCCCCGTCCTAGGCCCCYGGCTGCACCACCAGTGGTGATGGGCACCTGCTGCCTACCTGTCCTGCTCGTCCTCAGGGGGCAGCACCCACTCTCCTCGGCTTCACCCCGTGTCCATGTCGATCTTGGGTGGCCAACCCTTCCCCCTAGACTTCAGGGTGGGCGTGTGACCCAGGAAGGGCACTGCACGAGCCACTCAGAGGGGACAGGGGAGCATCAGATTTGGGATCTGTGCAGTTCTCACGGGGACGACAAGCCCGCCTCCTCGGGGATCAGGAAACCGCCTGGCGCTGCCTGTGCCATCGGGGCCACCACACAGGGGAAGCCCCCGAGGGTGCAGCCAAGGTGACAGGAGGATGGAAGGTCATGGGGRCATTTCTTTTAATTTGTGATTTTTAAAAAATGTCAAGGGAATAAAAACACACGTGTCCTCAGTGTGACAACCACGTATCCAGGCGGCCCATACATTGTAACCAAGGTCCCACGGGGTGGGGGAGGGGCTGCCGGGCAATCCCAGCCCTTTCCATTAAAATTTAAAATTGCTCTAAAAATACTGTCTACTGAAACAACAAAACCCAGCATCCCAGGTGGCATCCTGACTGGATCCTGGAAAACCAGGAAGATCTGAATCACGCAGGGACTTCAAACAACAGCCAYGCGGCTGGGCAAGGTCAGCTGAGAGGGCTGCATGGCCGCAGACGGGAGGCCTGGGCGGGAGGTGTCTGGAATCCCCTGCGCTCTCTGCAGCTCTTCCATGATCCAAAACCGTTTCCAAACAAAACTACCGAAGGGGAAAAAAACCCTTCACGGGGTGAAACTGAAGCTCAGAACCCCGACGTGACTGTGCCCTATCCAGGCGCCCGCCGGCCAGCGCAGGGCTACGGATCTGCACGTCCAGACGCAGGGCCTGTGCAGCCTCTTTGCCGTGCGGCACGGGTCTGGGGTTCTCTGTGCGCTGACGGCGCTGTCCGGAGGTCCCAGCACAGGAGGGCCGCTTGGGGACAGGTGGGGCTGTGGTCCTGCGCTGGGTCCACAGGGCTGCGGGGACCTGATGCGTGGAGCTGGCTGGAGCTTGCCCTGAGCCCCCACCGTGCGGCCCCCCTCCTCCCTCGGCACCCCCACCTGACTCTCCTCTTCAGCTGCGTGGACTTAGCTCTCGCCCAGGGCGCCCCTGCTTGCCACCCCCTGGATGCTGGCCCCCGCTGCCCCCTCCTGTCTTATTCCGGACTCTGGGGTCCCAGCTCCATGGAGCCTCATGAGGAGCTCGGGAGGTGATGTGTGCAAAGCGGCCAAAGGGACAGTCCAAGGGACGTGGTCCACAGCTTTGGAAGCCCCACCCCCACTCACCCTCGGGTCTGACAGCAGCCTTCTGGTCACTGTTCTCAACCCTCGCAGCCTCTGGACAGCTCGTCACCACTGCCCCCCGGGACGCTCCTGCCTGGCCTCCCCACCTCCCTGGCCTCCATTCTTGGCCTCCTTGCTGGCTCCTCTGGTCTTTCCCACCCTCACAGCTGGGGAGCCCAGGGCTTGGGCCCCTTCTCCCTCCACCCTCACCCACAGAGCTCTGCCCAGCACGTGGCATCATGGTCAGCTCCTACAGCTGCATCTCGGCCTGCACCCGGCCCTGAGCTGCAGGCTGCCTTCTCCAGGTGGCCCTCCCCTCCCCCTCAGCCACCAAGGCCCCCGCTGCTCCCGGGCTGCTCCCCACCACCCCCGTCTGGTCATGGCACCTTCACCCTTCCTAGCCCTTCTGTCACTCAGACCAAAACCTGGATCTCCGCGGACACCCTGCCAGGTCCACCCGTCGTCCGGACCAGCCACTTGGCCTCCTTGCTGGCTCCCCTGGTCCCGCCCAGCACATGGGCTCACAGGCCTCCCACGTATCTGCTGGGTCCCTGCCGCCTGCTGGGCAGCCCGCACCCTCCTCCCTCCTCAGGACCCCCCCGGGGAAGGTCTGCTGTCGCTGTCCTGCAGTCAACTAAAGGACAGGGACTATTGAGGCAGGAAGTGGTGAAGTCACCCAAGCCCAGGCAGCGGGTCACCAYGCTGGGGCCCCGGCCACCAGGCTGCTCGGCCTCCAGGCCCTGCTCCCTGCTCCCAATGCTCAGGCCGTGAAGGTCCCCACTCCTGCCCGGTTCTCCCGGCCCCGCCAAGGCTGTCCCCTGGACTCTGCCACTCGAGCCCCCAGCCAGCCCCAGTTCTGCTGACACCGGGCACTTCCACGGGCTCTGGGGACAGCTTGGAGTGCAGAGTCATCTCAGCCCATAAATATGTCATCAGGCACTAATGGGGGAGCCCTGATGGAAGGCACCCCCAGCCTGGGCCTCCAGGACAGTTAATGGCTCTGAGAGAGCACTAAAAATAAGTCACAAGTCGATGGCAGAGGAACTGCCCAGAACGTCAGCCTGTGCGACTGTCACTGCCAGGGACGGGCAAGAGGGAAGGGGGGCTGAGAGCCAGAGCAGAACCGGCCGGACCCGCACCAAGGCCACCCCACCCCAACAGCTGGCCCTTACCGTTCCCTGCTCTGCTGTCCCCGAGTGCCCCGGGCCCATCCATCTCCTCGCGAGCTTCATGGCCACCTGACCCTGCCACCTCTCCTCGTTGTCCCTGCTCCTGCCCTTGTCCCTAAGGTCCCGATCCTCCGGTGCTCCTGCCTCACCCAGAGGAAATCCCAAGTCCCCACGAGACCTACAGGACAGAGCAAGGGGAGAGGGGATCCTAGGGGACAACGGTGACCAGATTACATTACGTCAAGTGCACGTATGGATATGTGACAATGACGCCCGATACTTTATATAATTATAAGGCACCAATAAAAATGGGGAGGAAAAAAGCCCTCCAGCCCGCCCAGGACCTCTGCCCTGGGTCTGTCCTGTTCACTCACTGCCGCAGCCACACTCCTGGCTGCAGCCCCAGCACCTGGCAGACGCAGCCCCAGGGCCTTTGTACTTGCTGTTTCCCTTGCCTGGAATACTCTATCGCCCCTCCTTTCCCAAGGCCCCGAGTCTAGCATTCTTGTCATCCAGGGAGCAGTTCAAACATATCCTCCCTGTCCACCKTGGCTGGAGTGGACTCCCTGGATGGCTCCATTCACAGCGGTTTCATATCCTGAACACCAGCCTCTAAAATCTTCCTGCAGGTTTCCTTGACTGCTCCCTGCCTGACCCTGACCACAACCTAAGCAAGACCAGGCGGATCTCGCAGCCTGGGGGGAGCACTCGACGGGACTTTTAAAAGATTCTGCAAGACAGGTGGTCTGCGAGCCTCAAAGACGTCAAGGTTGCGGAAAACAGTGACAGGGATAGGAACTGCCGGGTTAGAGGGGCAGAGTGGCTGGTGCAGCCTGTGACGCTGGCCCACGAGCCAGAGGACACTTGGACCTAACGGGAACGTGGACGAACAGACAGCGATCCTGTTCCTGGGCTCCGGGTGCTGCTGAGCCTCTGCTCCCGGGAGATACCCCGGTGCTTATTCACAAGGACTCCATCGAGGATCACAGGAGGGACAGAGAAAGGAAACGCGGGGAAGGTGGGAACCTGGGGAATCAGCCATGTGGCACTGGAGTTCATCAAACTGTTCATAAAGCTTTTCTGTAACTGTGGCATTGTCCCAAAGAGAACACGGAGGCAGGAGCCTGCTCGTCTGCTGGTGTCAGCAAGTCAGGGAACGCGCAGGCGGGGCGTGTGCGCTGGGTGTGTGCACCAGGCGTGCGTCGACCGCAAGTGCTCACAGCACACACCCACAGCCACACCGTGCCTGCCCACCTGCACACGCACGCGCTTTCGCCACACAAGCCCACGCCTGTCCCCGCGCACGCCTGCCCACCTGTGTGGCCCACAGCTGCAGCACCAGGGCCCRCGCCTGCATCTCCTCCGACGCCCCCAGCTCCTCCAGGTGCCGCAGGTAGCTCTCCAGCCAGCTGCTCCGCTGGGCCCGCGTGGCCAGCCTGACRGGGGACAGCAGCTTCCACAGGTGGGCTTTGACGCTGCACACACGGTCCTTATCCCCTGTGGGGACAGAGCACAGAAGACAAGGGCTAGGTCCACCCCCGACCAGGCCTGTGGGTCTCCTGGGCCTCACTCCCTGGAGGTGGGAAGTTCTGCAGGGAGCGAGGCTGTGGCTGGAAGCCAAGGGGAGGCCTGCTCACTGTCCACCTTGGCTCCACGGAAAGGACAGGGGCTCTGCCTGCGGCAGGGGGGACCCTGCTTTAGTCACCTGTGTCCCCAGAGCCTGGAATACTCTATCACCCCACCTTTCCCCAGGCCCGAGTCTAGCATTCGCACCAGAGGCTCAACAAATGGTCTTAAAGGAAAGGTGACTCTTCACGTCACCCCCCCAGAGCCACTGAAGACGCAGCGGCCTGCACCCCTCCTGGGACCCCCCCAGAGCAGGACCGGAGGGCCACACTGCCTGGGGAGGGGACGCACTGACCGGGGATCCCAACTCCACAGCTCCAGGGAAAGTCCGCTTGGGGGGAGGCCCAGAAGCAGCCCGGGAGCCCGAGCCAGGCCATGGCTCCAGCGTGGGCCTCGGGCCTGTTCTCCACAGCAGCTGAAAACCCAGGAGTCGGTGTGGAACCTTCTGGTGACAGGAGTTGTGCCGTGCTGGGGATCCAGCCCCGGCCTGCCACCAGGCACGTGCTGTCCCCTGAGCCACACCACAGCCGCTTCTAGCATTTCTAAGGTCAGCATCTAAGTAAGACGGCCGGTCACTGTGCAGGCCACAAAGCGTCTCTGGTGGTCAACCCCGCCCCAGCACACCCTGCAATGGGACGGTCAATCAACAGTGGCCTGTTTGCACCGGAAAAGCCACGAGACAGTGGAAATAAACACAGGTCTTCAGTACAGAGAGGGCCCAGGCGCAAGCCTGCTGGGAGTCCAGACGGCACCCGAGGACCCACCGGGGTGACCCCCCTCTGCGTGGTCGGCAGGCTGCGGGCCATCCGGGGCTGGGGTACAGAGCCGTGCCTGCCCGACAGGGCCACAGTCAGTGAGGCCACGTCCAGGACAGGCTCCCGTCCAATCACCTCCCAGGGACGTCCTGGCTCTTGGTCTGCGTTCTTCACACCCTGGTTGTGCAGGGCACCATCGCCTAATGGCGCCTTTCTCAGAATACCTCCTGTCACTAAGCCACACGTGACTCTGTGTCACGAATATCAACTTTGGTTTCCTCCAAAACCACCAAGGGAAAGCGTGGCCAGGACGTTTCAAAGTGCTGGAACTTTCTCCCTGAGCATCTGAACCAGGGGCTGTTTCCGGTGCACCCAGCTTCCTCCCGGGCCCTGCTGTCTGGGGGGTTCGCAAGCAGGGAAAACGGGGGGGGGGGGACCCAGACCTTTGGTTTGCTTCAGTGTTTTGGCTGCATCTTCCAACAGCAGGCCCAGTGTCTTCCCTCAAATCCGCGACACTCTGCGGGTGGCGCAGCGCTTTCCTGTGGAAGCCCCGGGGCCCCAGGCTCACGGGAAACGCGCTCCTTTCCTGCTCCCCGACCTTTTGGGCACTTTAAAGAATCACCCAGGAGCTCCCGCATGCCCAGGTGCCCGGGTCCCACCCCAGGCCTGTGGTGTCAGAATCACCGGGGCCCAGCCTGGACGTCCAGGGATTTCAGCAGGTGACTCGGAGACACAGGAAGTGTGGACACCACCTCAGTCGGTGCTCACGGTGTCACCCAGGGGATAGCAAAACAGGGGGGCAGAGAAAGTTGGCTTGAGAAAGGCCTGCACCCCGAGGCCCAGCCAGGCCGCGATCCTGCACCTGCTGCGGACACCGCTTTACAGTGACTCACAAGCGACGCGGACCACTGCCACCTTCGCCCGTGCCTACAGGCCAACCACAGGGACCTGGGACCTGGGAGCACCCGGCGCAGACTCCCAGCTGTGAGGGCCTGGCTGAGGCCCCGCCCATCTCCATGTCCCTGTCATAAAGTGAGGACCCGGTTGTCCTCTCAGGTTTCTCCTTGGAAACCCTCTGGGCCCTGGAGGTCCCGATGACACAGTCCAGAGAGCCCGGGGACAACAGGCCCTAAGTCTTGCATTTAACTTTTAAAACATATTGGAGTTTTGCATCAGAATCTATGGCTCTTTGACATAAGATCTTCCCCMAAAAAAGTTCAAACAACACCCCCCTCAAGCGCCCCAGGAAAACGAATGTTCCCGAAAGAAGCACCGGGCTCAGCTCTGGGGTCCACTCAGCGGCCCTCTGCCCACAACTCCCTGGGTGGGAGAAGACCCAGATTTAATCTTCTCTTAAAGTGTCTGTATTTTAACAGGAGGACTAACACACGCCCACGGAAAAAAATAATAACCATAAACATAAGTTGGCCTGCTGGGAAAGAGGCTTCTCTCCACCCAGCTCAGCACGCCCAAAGCAAGTCTGYAGTCCCCTGGGGAAATCCCAAGGGGCGTCCTCGGCCACCACCCTGGCTCTCCCTCCTGGGGGCCACCCTATGCCTGGTTTCGCAGTAGCACAGCTTGCTCTGATATGATCTCAGGATTCAGGCAACTTGTCCCGACCGGCGGACATTCAAGTTGTCTCCACCTTTGCTGTCACAGGCAATGGGACAATACTTTGTGGATCTGTAGGCACAGAGGGGGTACAGGAGCAAAGGGTATGCATTCTATATTTTGGTCCTTCCTGCCTAAATGGAGTTCCAGGGATGGGGGAAGCCGCCCAGGCCCCACAATGCACGCAGGCTTCTGGCCTCAACCAAGAGAAACTGTCCCCCAGCACTGCCACCTGCCGCCCACACTGGGAAATGCAGCCTTCCTGTGTCCAGCCCTGGCGCAGCCACCCACCAACTGGTCTGACAAGTGCTCCCGCCTCTCTGAGCCTCGGTTTCCTGAACTGCACAGTGGGCCCTGAAATACCCATCTTCCAGCAATGACAGGAGGGCGCAATAAGACAATGAGTTGTGTCTAAGAGGATGACACGGATGACAGCTCACAAAACGGTGAGAGAAACCTAAAAGAAGTGTTGTCCCTGCAGCCAGGAAATGCCGCAGGTCAGAGGCCCCTTTCCTGACGTCGTACTGGAAGGACTTAACTTGCTAACGGCATGTTGACAAGGTTGTGACAAAAATCAAATTGAAACAATAAGCCACCAGCCTCTGCCCCTCAGATTGGCAAACAAACAACCTCAGTGACGAAGCTGGATGCACGTGACTCTGGTTCCGAGGGCAAGTGGGGCGCTAATGAGACCTCAGTAGACAGAGGGGAAAGGCCTGAGTGAACAGGCCAGAGGGTGGCACACGCCTGTGACTCCAGTGGACGGGAGGCTGAGGCAGGAGGACTGCAAGTTCAAAGCCAGCCTCGGCAGCTTGGCGAGGCCCTGAGCAACTCAGTGAGTCGCTGTCTCCAAATAAAACACAAAAAGGTCTGGGCTGTGGCTTGATGGCCGAGTGCCCTGGGTTCAATCCCCAGTAGCAAAAAAGGAAAGAAAGAAAATGATAAAAATAATTCACGGCTCTGTGTGTTTATGTGTGTGCGTGTGCGCGCGTGTGTGTGTGTGTGTGCGCGTGTGTGGGGGGGGCACTTGTGTGTGTGTTTATGTGTGTGCATGTGTGTGTTTATGTGTGTTTATGTGTGCGTGCGTGTGCGTGTGTGTGCGCGCGTGCGTGTGTGTTTATGTGTGTGTGTGCGTGCGTGTGTGTGTTTATGTGTGCGTGCGTGCGTGTGTGTGTGTGCGTGCGTGCGTGTGTGTGTGTGTGTGTGTGGGTGGGTGGGCACCTGTGTGGAGAGGCGCTGCAGGGCTGCTCCTGGGGAGTCCTGGTGCTGACCTCTGAGGAGGGCTGGAGCGGGTGGGGATGGGAGAAAGTGGGGGACCCTTCCTGCTCCCTCAGATCATTCTGCGTGGCTTGAGTTTCGATACCAAGCATGAACTACTTGCCAATTTCTTAAAAAGCAACTTAAAACAAGGAGAAGAACACACGAACACTCCCAGGCCCCACTCCAGAGTGCTGAGCTAGAGATCCCACCAGGAGCCCACCCGGCCCAAGCCCCGCGGGGGTCCCCACCCCACAGTGGGGACCTCCCCGCCCCCGAGGACATGGCACCCTCCTCCTGTGTGGCCTCGGTGTTCAGACACCTGACTCGTTCTGCCTGCCCACCACCCACAGGGACCCCTGGGTGCTCACCCACTGACAGGGAGCCTCGCGCCAGCTTGGGGAGCATCAGGTCCAGCTGGCGGAAGGTGTGGTAGACGTCGGCCGAGTGGGCTCTGTCCTGGGCCTGGCTCTCCTGGGTGCGTGTGGACGCCTCCACTCCATACAGGGTCAGGTAGCCGGCTCTGGGGCGACAGAAGCAGGTCAGGGTCCTCTGCGGACACACGTGGCCTCGCGCCCTGGTGGCCTCTGAATTGTCTTCACTCATTCCCCCCAGGAGCTCCTGGTCTTCCCCTGTGTGCCAGGGCCTGTTCCTGACATAGAACCGACTTTCAGAACAGACCAGAGCCCTGTCCCGTGGACTCCCGCTACGGTGTGGGGACAGAGGAAGCAGGAAGGCAGTGGAAACAGCGTGTGCGCCAGCTCCATGGAGCGTGTCTGCAGCCCCAGTGACTCAGCAGGCTGAGGCAGGAGGCTCGAAAGTTCAAGGCCAGCCTCAGCAATTTGGCGAGGCTGTGTCTCAAAGCAAAAAGGGTTGGGGATGCAGCTCATGGTGAAGTGCCTGGGCGCACACTCACCACGCCAAGAGAAAAGTGAACAGGCAAAGAGCAGCATGAGGTGAAGGAACGACAGGCGGACACAGGCGGCAGCAGCAGGGGCGCCTGTGGGGCGGCTCCCCGTGGAGCTGACGGATAAGAAGGAACCTGCTTCGGGGCAGACCCAGGGCAGACCCAGGGCGGACCCAGGGCAGACCCAGGGCGGATCAAGGGCAGACCAAGGGCAGACCAAGGGCCAAGGGCAGACCCAGGGCAGACCAAGGGCAGACCAAGGGCAGACCAAGGGCCAAGGGCAGACCCAGGGCAGACCAAGGGCAGACCAAGGGCGGACCCGGGGCAGACTTCTTGGGCAGCAAGGGCCACCACGTGATGAAGCAGTAGGGAGGCTGGTGCAGGGGAGGCGAGGGGTGAGATGGGGGCACCAGTGGGGACAGGAGGACCCTGTCCAGGAGGGGGTCGGGCAGGCTTCCTGGAGAAGGGGCAAGGGGAGGCCAGGTGTCAGAGGGCGAAGCCGGGGCCAAGGCTGGGGGCTGAGGGGCAGCGGAGACCTGCCCAGAGCTGCTGGGTGTCTCTGGAGCTAGGGGCGGGGCCTGAAAGGTGTCCAGGGGTCGAGCAGGGCAGAGGGGACATGGAATGGGGGAAGCCCGTGCTGGAGCTGAGGGACCCTGGGAGGTCAGCCAGGCTCAGCCAGGTGTGCAAAAGGACCAGGCCGGGAGCCGACGTGCCCAGGTGTGCGAGCAGCAACGCACCACCTGTGGGGCCACCTCAGGGGAAATGCCCCAAGCCCTTTCCAGTGCCCCAGGCGCCCAGTGCCAGCCCCGGGCCCTGGCCTCAGTCCTGGGCGGGAAACCGCGGGTTCTCACTTCTCCACGAGAAGGGCTGCGGCCTTGGCAGACAGCCACCACTGAGGTCCCCACCTCCCGTCCCTCACTCCCCTACCCCCTGACCCCACCCCCTAGATCTCCCAGGGCAGAGGTCCTCCCGGCTGGGGACAGGRGGGAGCAGGCATGGGCTGACAGCAACCTGTGTGGTTCCCACTCTGTCCCTCACTAGCACAGCACAGGCCCAGGGTGGCCCCGAGCGCATGGTGGGTGGGCAGACGGACAGAAGGACAGGGTCAGAACAGAACCCTGAGAGCCCCGACCATGAGAGAATGAAGGGTCACCACAATTTGGAGCCACCAACCCCCATTCCACCCCCCCCCCCCCCCCGCCTGCGTTGGCTTCCATGCCCCCAGGGATGGGGACCTCACTGCSGGTCACAGCCCTCCCCACGACCCCCCTGGTCCAGCCCAGGGGAGCTCCCCGTGCCTCCGCCAGGCTCCCCCTCCCCTCCACGCACGGCAGGCCTGGGCCCCTGTGCAGATGAAGGCCTCGGTTTCCTCATGGCAGACACTGCATGGGGTCCGMAGAGGTCACCTGAACCCCTGCTGGACCTGCGCTCAGACGCCAGAAGAAACCAGGGCAAAACCTGGGCCTCCCAGCCACCCCTAGAAAGGAAGCTGGCCACGGCCCACGGACCYGGCAGGGCAGCGCACGGCCACTCCTTCTAGGCAGCAGGTGCTCGCCAGGCCACCACGGACCTCGCCTGGCCCCGGGTCTGTCACARTTTAAAGTTCGGCTAAGCACCTGGGTCCCTGTCTTTCAGGCTCTGCTGTTTCCCTAAGGCAGAGAGCCAGTCCCACCAAAACAGGCGACGAAGAACAGCCAAGCACAGCAGCCCAGGGGACAGCCGGGCCTCACGCTGGGGAAGGGAAGGCCCTTCCGTGGCTCCTGGTTCCGACATCAGGCCCAGCAGCCAGTCACCGCCTGCGTAAGTACACAGGCGACCCCTAGGTGGCGCCAGGTTCCATAAAAAACTAGACCCAGGTGGACGACAGGCGTCTTCATGTTGATGACCTGGGTGTCCAACAGGCCTCTCTGGGCAGCTGGCACTGGAGATGGACTGACTGAAGTGAGGAGGGAGCCACATGGACATGTGGGGAACAGCATTTCCAGGCAAGGGGACAGAACTCCTGATGTGGGGCGCGTGCCTGGCGGGAGGGAGACTGGACCACGGTGGGGCGTGAACTCACCAGCAGAAAGTTAAGGAGGCACTTTCACAAGCATCCTCACCTTAGGCTTAGCCCAGGAGCCGTCACACCCCGCGCTTCCCACCTCCACCTTCACCACCGCYCCTCCCCACCTGAGGTCTGGTCTCCAGTCCCAGCCAAAGCCGCTGTGAACCCCTGAGCCGGTCCTGCCTTGCCCCGGCCCAACCCCTAACGTCACTCTGTCTTCTGAGAGCAAACCCCGAAGCCCTTCCTGGCCTCGAGCTCTGTGAGACCTGCTATGTGACTTCTCCAGCTTGTCCCTGAACCAGTTCTGCTCCAGCCACTCGGGCTCCCTAGGAATCCCACCCCTGGGCCTTCCACTTGCCAAGTCCCCTGCCAGGCCCTTGGCACGGGAGTGGGTACCCTGTCCTGAGGTCTCAGCTCTGAGGCTGGATCCTCAGAGAGGCCCTTCATCAGTCCGGCTGACGCTGCCCAGGGGCTGCCACCCTCTGTGGGTCTCTGTCCCCACGTCCATCACTCTGGCATACAGAGTCCATCTGTCTTGTCCCTGCTGTAAACCAGAGCCCAGAAGAGCGCTGGGCACCACTGCGGCACAGAGCTCGGCCCTGCCGTTTTCACGAGTCTAGGAGGTCTGACCCCGGCCGAGGGCCTGCTGGGCTCCCAGCACCCTGTTTCCCAGCCTGCGAAATCCCAGAAGGTGGGAGCCACAGGACAGGTGCCTCGGGGTCTTGCTGGCTACCCCCTCTCCAGGTGACCACAGGGCCCTTTCTCAGCCGTGCCTGCTTTTCGGCTCAGCCTGGCTCAGGTGACCTTGGAGTTTCAGGTACTCAGGGTCCTTCCTTCATCGGTGGGCATCCCAAACCGCCCCCRCCCAGAGTGCTCACGGTTCACTCGGCCCTGCCCGCGGGGACGAAGATCCGGAGTGTCAGGCCCCACCCAGGACAAGGTTCCGGGGCTCACCTGAGCAGAGAGCCATAGCAGAGGTCCAGGAGGCCCACCTCCCGCCAGCCGCTGGCCCCTTCCGTGGCGTCGCCCAGGAGGACGGAGCGGAGGTTGGTGAACATGGCTTCCGTGAGCACCTGCAGGTCTCTATGGACGAGTGTCCTGAGCCGGGCAAGGGCAGCGTGAGAGCCTGGCTCCCAGGGAGACACCCGCGCCCACAGCTCCTGCCCCAGCGGCAGCTGGCCTGGCACCCGCCACAGCAGTGCTTTACAGTGCTGGACACAGAGGCCAGTCCACGCTCAAGGCCACACAGCCGTGACAGCTGGGACTGAAACCTGTGTGTGGCTGCAGGGCCTGTGAGCTGCACTGGGCAGCCCATCCCGACTGGGCACTGGAGCTGGGCCAAGGAACCCCGCCTCTGGAAGAGCAGGAACTAAGAGGCCAACCCTGGAGTGAGGGGTCCTGTCTGCTCAGCTACAGTGTCCCCTGACCAAGGGCTGCTAAGAGACGGGACCTCAGTGAGGGTGACATGAGGCAAAGGAAGGGGCTGGTGACCTGGTCCCATCACGTGGACCCGAGTCGGAGGACAGAACAGCCCCGGAGTGTGGGCAGAAGTGGGGGCCCTCAGCCCCTCCCGGGGCAGGCTCCGCASTGCGCGGGGTGAGGTGGGGGTGGCCGGGAGGGGAGGCGGTCCTGGTCCAAGGCTCCTGGGGACGGGGACCTGATGGCCGTGGCCCGCTCAGCAGCGGCACCTGGCGGCGGCGGCAGGGACGGCAGGCGCGGGCCCGGGCTCTGACTGGTTTCCGGGGTTTCTGGTCCTCAAAGCCCAGGGCGCAGGGCACCTGCGGGGCAGCCCGCACCCCCGCCTGCGCCCAGGGCCACTCACGGTCTCATCCGGGCCTTCTCCTCCGTGGGGCTGTGGTGCGGGAGCTGCACGTCGAAGATCCTCTCCATGAGGAAGGTGGCGTACGAGTGGAAGTCCAGCCGCGCGCGCGGCTCCCACGCCACCCTCTCGTAGGAGTGGGGGTCCAGGAGCACGGTCACGTGCCGGCCCCCCACCAGCACCTGCGGGAGGCCCGTGAACTCAGCTGGGACTGAAACCTGTGAGTGGCTGCGTCCCGGCCCGACGCCACCCCCGAGGCGCGACCTCCTTCTCATCGCCCCTGCGCCACCGTGAGCTGGGGACGGTCGCCAGCCCACGGGTGCCCCACCCCAGGCTCCCAGGGAGGATGCCAAGCGCCCGAGATGTCACGGCCGCKAGTGGCAGGGCCAGGGCTGAAGGCAGGGCTTTCTAAAATCAAGGCTGCGACCTCACCACCCGCTGCAGGCCCCGGCAGGGTCACCTTGGCCAGGCGCGTCGCGGGTCGCCTGCGCAAGGCCACGGACCTCGTGAGGGGCCGCGGGAGGGAGATGACGGTGGGCAGGCTGAGGGGGGGAGGGGTGCAGGGGGCTCAGGGACCCCACGCTGGACTGCGACGGGGTGGGCAGCCAGCGGACGGGTGGAAGCTAAATGTGTGGATAAGTGTGGGGCCCAGGGGTGACCGGCCGTGCGTCCGTCTGGGGTGACCAGGTGGAAGGATGAGCGGTCCGGGAGGCTGGAGGGAGGCGTGCAGGGGGCCGGGCGGAGGCCTGGGCAGGTGGAGGCCCGGGAGGGTGGAGGCCTGGACGGCGCAGAGTGGACAGGGGTGGGCAGGGCGGGCGCAGCTGTGCAGGCGGGTGACTGGGCGGGGGACCGACTCGGGGCTAGAAAGCCGGACGGATGTGGCCGGGAGTGGGGTTGCTGGGTGAGTCTTGGGAGGCAGGCAGGGACCTTGTGGGTACGGCAGAGGCTGGGGCAGGAGGCGAGGAACACCGACGGGTGTTGGGTGGAGGGTGCTGGGCAGCCGTGGGTGGGAAGGCAGAGGAGGGAGGGACCCGGAGCCGGATGTTGGACAGACAGAAGCTGAGTGGACGGGCAGCTGGACGGACGCCGGGGTGTGGTAGACCCTGAAGGACCGTGCAGCTCAGTGTGGGAAGAGGCTGGGGGACACCCAGGGTCGGAGGTAAGGGAAGCACAGTGGACAGACAGACAGACAGACTGGGGGTGGGGCGCTGGTGCAGGTGGGGGCTGGCAGAGTTCAAGGCACTGCCCCCCTCCCCCCAGAGGCACTTACGGTAAAGATGTCCCCATGCTTCTCCTTCATCCTAGCCAGGAAGCTGGCCGCGTCTCTCCCAAACTCCAAGGCGTGGCCCAACCAGGGGATGCTGCCCAGGTCCAGGGGAGGCTCGCCAGGCCGCCTGCAGAACCCACAGCACTTAGTAAAGTGAGGCAGGGGAGGGAGAATGTGGGTGGGGAGGTCAGTGGGGAGGTCAGGAAGGCACTCGGGTAACTGGAAGAGCTTTCCAGGAGAGAGAACGGCAAGTGCAAAGGCCCTGTGGTTGGATCGCACGTGTTCAAGGGACAGTAGGAGGCTGGTATGGCTGGACTCAGGGGGCAAGGGGCAGCAGTGGGTRCTGAGATCCGAGGGCGGGCAGGACCAGAGTCATCTGTGGGAGCACTTCCGCTTTCTCTTGGAAGTGGGAGCCATGGAAAAGTTTTGAGTGGAGCGACATGACCTGCTTAGGTGGAGCTGCCGTGCAGAGTGGACTGTGGGTGGACATGGGGGCTGGGCGTCCAGCAGGCGACCACCTCCCTGCAGGTGGGAGGAGCTTCCACACCCCACAGCAGCAGGAGTTTCTGAGCCAGCCCGGACCAGGGTGTGGGTCAGCTCACACCCTGCCCTGCCCACAGGGATGAGAGAGAGCAGTCTGCTGCCCCCAACTGCCCCTCGCCAGCTCCGAACCTGAGGCGCCTCGGGCAGCAATGCCAGGCCAAGTGTCCAGCATGGGCGCTGGTGGAGCAGGGCAGGGGGGTCCTGTGTGCCGGTCAGCCAGCCCCTGGGTGGGGTCCGCATCCTCAGCCACCACACCCTGTGCGAGGGGGACCCTGGGGACACTGAGTGGGGACAGCTGGTGCAGTGGACCTGAGGGAAGGCTCATCCCTTGGTGGCCCAACCTGACCGGCTGGGCAGGGCTTAAAAGGACAGGGCTCTTCCCRGCAGAGAGACTCGAAGCCCACGTGGGAGGGGACACGGGAAGTCTGTCACCGGCTTCGAGGCTGGTAGGGACCCCGGGGCAGGGAATGTGAGTGGCCCCCAGGAGCCGTGAGCGGACCTTGACTGACAGCAGCACGGACGCAGGTCCCTAGTCCTACCCAACGCCAGACCCTCCCTGGAGCTTCCAGTGGAAAGGAGGCTGYGCCACCTCAGCCTCAGCCTCCTGGGCCTCCGACAGAGAGCCCCGTGGGCTCCGATCTCCATCGCAGGGCTCAGCCCCACCTGGGGCTCCTGGCGGGCTCCAGTTGAAGCTGCCAAGTGCTCAGCGTTCGCTTCAGCARTGAGCAACTACTACGCTCAGACTCCGCCCCGCTCGCGGCCGGCCACAGGCTTCCCATCCTCTCCCCCCTCTGCGGCAGGGAGCCTGCGCTAAGCGGCACCGGGACCACACAGCAGGCCTCACTGCATCGTGGGGCAGGTGTCCACAGCGGACCCCATGGAGGTCCCTAGGCTCAGAGCTATCAGAGCAACAGGGTGTGGAAAGTCGGGCCCCAGCTGCTGAGAGGCTGCAGCGACAGGGAGATATTCACCCCAAGCCGGTCCCGGGCAGGGCGCTGGAGACAGCAGGGAGCAAGACTGAAGAGTCGGCCACAGAGTGGCGATTCCGACGACAGCTCCACAGTGGAAACGCAACCTGGTTTAATCATCAACGACGAGCAGGGTGTGTGGCCGCGRCAGAGCCGCCAGCCAGCACGAAGCCTGGGTCCCTCCCAGCACCAGGAATGAACAAAAATTAAGATGAAGCAAGGATCGGAGCAGGCGCTTCTCCAAGGGATGCACAAGCAACAAGTGCCAAAGTCACGATGAGGCTGGGGCAGGTGGTGCACACCTTCAGTCAGGAGGCTGAGGCAGGAGGCCGCAGGTTCAAGTCCAGCCCCGGCAACTTGGGGAGGCCCTGAGCAACCTGGTGAGGCCCTGCCTCAAAATGAAGGATAAAAAGCTGGAGAGGAAGGTTGGTGGGAAAGCTTCCCTGGGTCCAGTCCCCARRAAACAAAGAAAGGAAAAGAAAAACAAATCACCATGAAGCGCCACTTCTTGCCCACCAGGACGGCGGTTAGACATTGTTAACATTTTTTTAAAAGAAAAATGGGTGTTCACAAAGATGTGGAGAAGCTGGAGGCGCCCTGGAACGTAAAGGGCGGGCCGTCTCTGAACACCAGCCTGGCGGGGCTCAAAGGGTTAAATACGAGTTGCCGCGTGACCAGTGGTGTGCCCCGGCGTTATCCGCAATAGTCGGAGGGGACACCAGCCAACCATCCATGACCGACAGGCGGGTGAGCCCCGTGTGGCACATCCAAGCCAGGGATGTTACTCAGTCATAAAAGGAGTCACTGAGTCACCGCCAGGGCTCGGGCGAGCCCTGGACATCACGCTGAGGGAAAGGAGCCAGACCCRAGGGCCACGTGCCGCACGACTAGCTGCCACCCATGCCCAGAGCAGGTGACTCCACAGACGGGAAGGAGATGGGTGGTGGCCAGGGCCGAGGGGAGGTTGAAAACAGTCTGGAACTAGGTGGCGGTGGCGGCCGTCCAACCCCGCGACTACACTAGAACCCAGTGCGCTGCACACTGTCAAAAGCGCACTTTAAAAGGGTGAATTTTGTGGTTCATGAATTACACCTTAATAAAGAAAAAAGAAAGAGGTGATTGAGACGGGGGGGGGGGTAGCTCAGAGAAGGTGGTCAAGGACAGCCTCCTCAGGGAGGTGCCATGTGAGCCAAGGCCAGAAGGAGGGGAAGGGACACTCAGGAAGGGTGTGAGAGGAGCCCTACMGGTAGAGAGAACGGCAGGTGCAAAGGCCCTGGGGTGGGAACACTGGGTTTTAAGACAGCGGGATCTGGTGCAGCTGGGGTGGAATGTGCAGGTGAGACACAGGAAGTGATGGCGGGAATGTCCTTGAGGACCTGGAGGGCCTGAAGCCAAGGAGAGTGCGGCTCCTGTGCCTCATGCGGTGGGGATGGGTGGAGGGTTGGAAGTGGGAGTCAGGAGGCGAAGCCTGTGTTTTAAGAGAGGCTACCCAGGAGGGCAGGCCCAGCACCTGACCCCTCACCCCAACTTCTGGAGCAGGGGGTCCCTGCGCAGGCAGCACTCCGGGGACAGGCCAGCAGGTCCCCCACCCCGGTCCTCCCTCGCCCCGACTGTGCCCCTCTGTCTGGCTGTCCCCCACCGGAACCCCAAGGGCGGGCAGGGGAGAACAGCAGGGGTGAGCSTCAGTGCTGGGAGAGAGCAGACCCAGGATGGAGTCCGACCCCAGCCTCCCAGCCTCCCAGCCTCCCGCTGCCCGGAGCCCGCCACCCAAGTCCCCCTCGCSGGCCCAGGAGGCGGCCAGCGAGGCTCCAGCCCTTCCCTGGGCTCTGGTCTCTGCAGCCCGGGGCCACGGCAGCTTCTCCGGCTGGGGACCAGCCTGCTGACCCGCAGGCACCCACCCTGCCACCCGGGCAGTCTGGGGAGACGGGCCCAGAGCGGGCAGCTGGCCTAAGAGGCAGGAGAGCCTGGTGGTCACAAGGGTGAGACGGAAGCACCATCGTCATCTGTGCCGGGGGACGGGAACCAAGGGGTCAGGGGAGCCAGGGGGCCCGGGTGACTCCGAGCGCCCCCAGGTGCTGTGCCCGGCCTTCTCCAAACTCTCCCTGCTGCCACTAAGGCCACCGTGAGAAGCCCTGACCRCGGGCAGCCCCGCTGGCCCTCAGCCCCAGGGGTGGGCGAGTGTCCTCGCCCTGAGGAGCGGGCCAGTCCCCAGGGGAGGAGCCGGGCTGGCCGCGCAGCCGCTTGCGGGGGCCTGGGGAGGAGCTGGGTCTCCCTCAGCAGGTCTGAGCGCAGGCCCCGTTCCTGACGCTGTCGGCCCCAGGTCCCCCGACATCTGCACCCCCACTTGGCAGGTGAGGAGCCTGAGGCACCGAGGGTCTTCAGGGACTGCCCCATGCGGGGCAGAGGGCCTCCTGGGGACACTCGGGCGGGGCTGGCCAKCGGGGCCAGGTGTTATTTCTGGCAGCCTCCTCCTCCTCCCAGAAGAGTCGCGAGGAGCAGACAAAGGCAGGAAGCCGGGGCCCAGGCGCCTGCCCCTCAGCTCTCCAGCCGACCCCCAGCCTGGCCCGGGCAGTGGTCCAGGGTGACTCAGCCTGCGGCCGGGGGCGAAGGAGGCTCTATTTCAAGGCCTGCGGTCTCGGCCTCGCCCACGGCCGCTCTCACTGACTTGAGGATCTGCCAGGCCTGGAGGGAGCGGGGTGGGGACACACGGCTGGACTCTCCTGTCCCGGGTTAATGCCCACACGCGGACGGTGGCCTGCTCCTTGGGTTCAGATACCCGCCATCCCTGGGGTCCTCTCCTGGGGCTTCAGCTCCCACAGGGAGGACCTGCCGGTCTCTCTCCCCCACACGCCAGCTGCCCGGGTCTCTCTCCCCACCTAAAATCAGGGGAGGGAGTGCAGGGTGTGCTGTCCCCAGCCTGTGCCCCGAGGCATGGCGTCCTGCCTGGACCAGGGACTCAGTGTGCACTCCAGCACTGAGAACCCTGCGCGGCACACAGTAGGCGCTCACAGAATGTGTCAGATGAAGGAATCATGTACACAGCTGGTGCTCAGTGAGCAGGCCTGCCTCCAGGGTTGCTCGAGGGTTGAGGCCCGCCCAGCGCAGGCTCTGGATGGTGGGGAAGGAGCCGCGGCTGGCCAGGCCGTGCCAGGCCGAGGGGCGCCAACGCTCCTAACAGTGCCCAGTCCACTCCGGCTCTCAGGCCCAGGAGGACCCGATGGGGAACAAAAAGGAGCTGCCACTCCCCCCCCACACACACACACACCCACTGGAGCAATCTGAGCTCCCCCAGGGCTCACCCCAGGCCTCCAGTGGCTTCTGGGTCCCCTTAACAGAGGGTCCCCCTTTGCTCTTCCGGGCTCCACAGCCTCCCACTGTGCAGAGAAAGCACGTGGCCTTTTTTTTGCTCTGGCTTTGTTTTCCTGGGAAGGAGTGACAGCAGAGAGCTGAAGGCAGGAGAGGCAACTGRAGCCGCGGGGACAGTGGCAAGGTCTGGAGAGGGCTCCTTCCTGCCAGACCTGCTGGTGTTCACAAGAGGCGGAGACCTGGGCTTGTGCCTGGGATCCTCCAGCTTCCCCTAACACCCACCAGGGCCTCCAGGGCTGAATCCCACCTCAGACCACCTCGGTGACCTCTGCTGCTGCGTGTTGCGATGACACAGACCTACTCACTCCTTCCTCGGAACTCGGCTCCCTGCAGAGGTCCCATCAGCCCCGAGACCCAGGAACCCATACCGGATGCCACTGCAGCCTCCGGTCCCCCAACAAAGGGACTGCCCACCCAGAGGACCTGTGGGAGTGCCCCCTGCAGCAGCCACTCCTGCCCAGGAGGAAGAGAGACGCTGGGCTGAGTGAGTCGGGGGACCCAGGTCACCTCTGGGAGCACCCTCAGTACCGAGGGCAAGAAGGATGTCTCCGGTCCCCACAGGGCAGGTCACTGCCTCAATGGCCCAGAAGAAAGAATCCTACCTCCCAGCACTCAGTCCTGCCAAGTTGAGAATTTGAACTTGAACTGGGAACTAGATGACATTACAAATTACCTTTTATATTCTCAGGGTGATGAAATCAGGGTTACCATCGTCTTCTGATATACATTCAGGGTTGAAATATCATGACAGCTACAATCGTTTTAACCGCTGAGCCACATCCCAGCCCTTTTTATTTTTTATTTAGAGACAGGGTCTTGCTGAGTTGCTCAGGGCCTGGCTAAATTGCCGAGGCTGGCTTTGAACTTGCGATCCTCCTCCGTTGTTGTATTTTATTTATTTGTTTATTTATTTGTGGTTTGTTTAATGCTCACAGGTAAAGCAGTTGCTGACTGACTAGAGTCACGTATTTCCCTGGGATGAGCGGGTGGCTAGCTGTGGAGTATAATTTCTGTGACCTTGGGAAAGTCACAACATTTTCCAGCCCAGCTGCACGGCACAGGTGATGGAGTGACCTCATGCCTTGGTCAGGAGAAAGGGGCGAGGCCAGGCAGAGGGGAGCCCTACCTACTTGCATCCAGACGTCACCCGCCCCTTCTTCCCACACCTGGGGACCTGTCCTTCCTGAAGGTTTTTCTGCCGTGGCTGTGTGATCTCAAGGTCACATGCTTCTACAGATTTCGAGTATCCAGATCCACCAATGTGATGAGAGGGAACAGGGAGGGTCCGTTTTTTCCTGGGAATTACAAGTCGTGACAGCTGAGAGTCTTAATCGAGGCAGACCCTGAGGGACTGCTTGACCTCTCTGAGACTCAGTGTCCTCCTCTGTAAAACTGGGGTAAACAGAGTGCCCCCTTAAGGCAAGTTAAAAAGAAAAGCTGGGCACAGTGGTGTGCACCTATAATTCCACCAACTCAGGAGGCTGAGGCAGAAGGATGGAAAGTTTGAGGCCAGCCTCAGCAATTTGTCAAGAGCTTTCTCAAAATTAAAAAAAAAAAAGTGGGGTATTGGGGCTACAGGTCAGTGGTGGAACACCCTGGGTTCAATCCCCAGCACCAGGAAGATAAAAAGAGGACAAATGACCTTGAGAAACAAATTGGGACCCCTGAGGGCCTTGCCAGAGTTCACACTGCTGTCCCCCACCTGCTAGTGACACCTGTTCCCATACTTCTCCCCAATAACCCCTGGTGGCCCTCCCAGGTGCCCAGAGGTATAAATCTCAGCCCCAAAGATAAGCAAGCTCCCCAGATTGCTAGTCAGCAGGACGTAGCCCAGAAAAGCTGGACCCACATTCCTTCCCACCCACTATCACGACCATCATCCCCATTTTTTAACTTTTTTTTTAGTTGTAAGTGAACACATACCTTTATTTTTATGTGGTGCTGAGGATGGAAGCTGGTGCCTCACAAATGCAAGGCAAGTGCTCTACCCCTGAGCTACAACCGCAGACCCCCTTCATCCCCATTTTAAAGACGGACACACTGAGACCCAATGGTGCATGTCTATAATCCCAGCTACTAGGGAGGCTGAGGCAGGAGGATCTCGAGTTCAAAACCAGCCTGGGCAACTCAGCGAGACCCCGTCTCAAATAAAATTCTCAAAGGACTGGATGTAGCTCTGGGGAAACTGCTTGAGCTCGTGAGGTCCTGGGTTCAAGCCCCAGAACCACAAAAACATTTTTGGACAAGTGAGGTGGAGAGCAGCCCCTCCTCTCACCCGCACATTCCACCCCGGGGGGACTTCTATGTGTCCAGGCACCCTGCCCCCAGGACCTACGACCTTCCAGCTGTGCCCACCCACACCCARGAAAAGTGCAGACCACGGCCGCAGGATGACCAGCACGTTACCGGAAATATCAAAAACAGAGGACACAGCCGAAAAGTCCATTCTCAGGGACATGGATAGAGGGAAAACGAACCCGCAACCGATTCAAATTCCAGCACACGGGAGAGAAGAGCAGAAGAGCAGACCACAGCTCCGTGTGCACACAGACCAGTGTGGAGCCCAAAACCCAGAGCAAAAAAACAAATGAACCATCGGAGAACCCCTCCGTACAGAGGGTCAAAGAGCCCGGCACACCAGGAAAAAGAACTCATGGCTTTGTAGGGAAACATTCCTCATCTTCTCCTTTTTTTTTTTTTCTTTCAGGCAAATGATTGAATGTGTAGTTTTAAATTTCACCTGGAAAAGTATGTGGTGCGAGGAAAAACACAGGGAGATCATTGTTTGCAATTTCAACAAACACATTGTTTAAAAGTTAAAGTTCCCAATGTTTCTGGGGTTTTCAGCCACTCGACTGTAAACTCTCTCTCTCTCTCTCTCTCTCTCTCTCTCTCTCTCTCTCTCCCTCCCTCTCTCTCCCCACCATATTGTCACAAGCTCTCCTCTCTGTATTTAAGAGTAACTATTAGAACATCTGGAGACATGGAGGAGCTGTTGGTCTGAATTGCATCCTGGTCTTTAATGGAAAACCCAGAGAAATCCCGGGAAGGGCTGCAGCTTGGTCGACAGCAGGGTTAAGGGCAAGGTCAGTTACACAAACCTACCAGGATAACAGAGGCGCTAGGGGTGGGGAAGCTTGGCAAGTCTTTGTGCGATCTTGGCAGACTTTTTGTAAATCTCAGACTWGTCTGAAATAAAAAGTGTATTTTTAAAATATCTGGAAGGTTCCACCCAAAGTGAGCAACAGGAGGTCTGGGGAAGAGGAAAGGACCGGGGTGGGGGTGGGGGTGCCGGGGGTCCTCAGTCTCGTCCGCAACAGGATGAATACTGGTTGTGGGTCACATGGAGTCTGCTCTCCCTTGTGCAATTCAAACTAATGTTTTGAATATTTCATAAGAAGACCTGGCTCCCTGAACCCGCGGTGTCATAGTTCGACTTTTCCCCCTAAATTACATTCCCCGCGGAACAGAAGACCCTCTGGGACGGAGGCTGAGAGTGGCCCTGGTTCTCCTCGCTTCTCCTCTGGCAGAAGTTAATACGGAGCCTGGGGACTCCGGCAGGAGTGGTCCCAGGGCGCCACGAGCAGGTCCCCCCACGGCCTCCACCCTCCAGCCTCCAGCCTCCGGGCAGGGGATGCCGAGCCCGGCAGGGCCGCCGGCCGCGGGGCAGGACAGGGCTCCCGCCCGGGGTGGGTGGGCGCCGGGCCGAGGCCGAGGCTGCGGGCACGAGAGGGCCTCTTGCACCCGGTCCCCGGCTGTCCCCGCACCTCTCCATCCACGCCCGGCCTCGCCCGAAGCCCTCCCCAGGTCCCGCCGTCGCGCCCACAGACCGCGACTTCCCGCGGCGGCGTCGGCCCACGGGACCCACTGCGGTCCCCGAGAGCCTCCGGCACGGGCAGGGGCAGGGGCAGGGGCAGGGGCAGCGGCCGGGCCCTCCCCGTGGGCTCCGCGCAGGGTCCCTCGCGGTGCCTGGGACCGGCGCGTCCGGCGGGGGCTGGGGCCACTCACCGCGTGCGCCGGCGGGTCAGCAGCAGCAGCAGCAGCAGCGCGGCCAGGAGGCCGAGGAGCGCGGCCCAGGACATGGCAGCGGCGGGCGCGGTCCCTCCAGGTAGGCAGCGCACCGCGGCCCCGCGGCCCTAGACCTCGCCGCCGCCCCGCCCCAGCGCCGCAGCCCGCGGACGGCCCCCGCCCCGCCCGGGGCCACGTGGAGGGGACGGCGGCGGCGGGGGCGCGGGCGGAGGAGGGGGCGGGAGCGACCCGGCGAGGGCGGCGCGAGGGGCGCTGGAATGCCTGGGGGAGGGGCGGGGAGGGACCCGCGGGCCCAGGCCGAGGGGGAGGCCGGGGACGGGCGGGCTTTCCCACCGCCGCGGCCGAAGCCCGTCCGCCTCCCGAGCCTCCTTCCCCTGAGTTCCCCCCGTCGGGCTGGGCTGCGAGGCTGGACTCCAGCGCTCCTGCTCCTCGGTGCATGGTCGTCGGGACTCCAGCCCGAGAGGAGGAGAGCCGCCCAGCAGGTCTCACCGGGGCAGTCCGTGCAGAGCACCGACCTGTTCCCGAGCTTTTAGGGCCTCGGGATGCCGTGGCCGCTGGTGCCCAGGGTGCCAGCCCCGCGGCCTGTGTCTCTGCAAGGGACCTCCCCGGGTGCCCAGAGGACCTGGGCTTCCCGTTTGCAGGGAGCAAACCTGGGCCTGGCTGCAGGTTGGCTCCCCAGAAGCTCCCGGTGTCCCCCTTCCCATTTCCACCCTGGGGAGCCCCGAGCAGGTAGCTTAGGGCAGTCCAGCTGCCAGGTAGAGAGGTACTTTCCGCAGGGGGTTGTGAGGAACTGACCACCTTGTCACTAAAAAGGAAGTACCAACTGCCCAGGGCTCGGTGCAGGTAAGTTCCGTGAAAAGATGGGCCAAGGTGCTCTGGCTGGGTCCTGTGCCTCCCTCTGGCTCAGGCAAGGTTTGGGCAAGTTTGGCCTCCAGCGTCACCCTCATCTCCCGACAGTCCAGGCTTCCCACAGAAGTCAGATCTCACCAGACCTGCTCACCACCGCACTCCTCACCCAGGGCAAGGCCACCATCTTTACAAGGCCCCCCAAGGACCCCCAGGTCCTCCCAGCCCACCTGCTCCTCCCCGCTCCAGCAGTCACACTGATCTCCCTGTCCCTCCCAGAGGTGCCAGCTGCCTTGGCACCTGCTGTTCCCTGGCCCAGAAGCTCTTCCCAGGGAGACACACGCCTCACTCTTTTTGTCATGCCCCCCACCTCGTCTCTGCTCATGACTGTGGCCCCAAAGCAGTCACCATCACTCTGCTGCTTTAACCCTTTGGACCAGGGTGGGGGTGACACCTGTGTGTCCCACTGTCCTGCTGGAGATTCCTTTACTAGACGTCAGGGAGCCAGGTGAGCTTCACGTGGCCTCAGCAGACCCACAACAGAAGGAGAAAGCCAGGCTCCAAGAAGGCTGCGTGGGGCCGGGAGGGTCTTCCAAACCTGCGGCCTCCCTCAGTGCGCTTCACGGCGCCTCAGCCAGCGCCCGGCCAGGGGACCCTGGGCAGTCTGCTCCGTCTCTCARCTGGGGCTCCTGGCTGATGCGATGGGGAAGAGAACCTCATGGGGTCAGGGTGGAGCAGTGACCTGATCCAGGTGACACACCTGTCCAAGAGCCAGGTGTGGGTAAACGTGGCCAGGGCCCTGTCTCAGTAGGAAGAACAGTGCCTTCCTTCCACACAGGGCTGAGGGGTGTTAAATGAGAGAGTGATTCACCCAGCACAGGGCCGGGCACACTGGGGGTGACTGAAGGAGGTCAGCTCTTCGACGGCCACCCCGGCTCAGTCAGTCCCGCCGTCGGTCTCCCTGGATACCCCCTTCCCACCTGCACTTGGGGCAAACTCCCTGGGAAGCATCCAGAGCTGCTCACACCAGAGAGAGAAGGCTGTGCCGGAGCCTCCTGCCCCTCACCCACAGAGCCCGACTGGTTCAGAGCGGGCGTTAGGGAGGCCGCCTGGCTGTCCCCGGAGAGTGGACCACAGTTGGGCTGTGCCAGTCCAGGGGTACCCTGTGTGCCAGGGATTGGTCCAGAGGTGGACACCTTCCGGAAATATGTGTAGGTTTCTGGAAAATGTTTCTATTTGCCTCCTCTGGACTTTGGGGACCATTGTGAAAGGACAAGATGGGGGCGTGGAAGGCCAGGGATGTTGCAAAGTTCCAAACCGGAGCTGCAGAACCGCCACCCCTGGAAGCCCCACCCAGACTTGTTCCATGAGATGATCGAGCGTCGGCTCATGGTGAGTCAGACTCTCTCCATTCCTAAGACCTCTGTGATGGCCGTAGGGAGGACTGAGCTAATCGGGCATCCAAAGCACCTCGTGCAGGACTCGCCCCGTAAGAACTCAGAGCAGGGAAACTCAGATCTGGCGGTGCCTTCTGGCGAGAACGGGCGGCCCTGAAAAGCAGCCGGAGTTCAAACTCCCCCCGAGGACTGGGAGGACCCTGCCCAGGCCTGGGCGGATGTGGCCTCAAGGGCAAAGAGGAGTGAGGGCTGCCCCAAGGGTCACCTGCTGGCCCGCCGCAGAAGAGCTGGAGTAAGGACCTGAGCGCCAAGTTCCCACCCCAGAGTCCCTCCCGTCACACACAGTCCTGGGCAAGTCACTTCACCTCTCGGAGCCTTGACCTCCGCCTCTGTGCCATGGGCACGTGGCTGGTGATGTCAGGGGTTGCCCACAAGGCTGACCTTGGCATCCAAGGCTTCACTGGGAAGTGGAAGCCACAGGCTCGTCCACCTCTCAGGAAACTCTGCTGTGCCAAGCAGCAGGACCTTCTGCTGGAGGAGTCCCAGTGTGTCCAGATGGCTGCTGTCCCCAGAAACGAGACAACTGTGCAAGTGTCCCTTTCCACCCAGCTTCCGCTGACTTACGTGGCTGTCACAGGGTCAGGAGGACAGGGTCAGGACCCCGCCGTCAGAACATGGAGTGTGCCCGGAAGGGCCCCCCTGGGCGCCCTACACCCCGGCTTTCTGTCTCGGGGCCTGTGTGTCTGCATCCTAACGACGAGGAACACATGGTATGGAGAAAGGAGGACATCGGGGGTGACACTGCCCGTCAGAGAGGGCAGTCTTCAGTGAGTGGTAATTGTAGCTCTCGCTTGAGGAGGTGATTGTTAGGGTTTGGATAGGAGGTGTCCCCGGACCCCCGTTAACAGGCRTGTGGAGGTGAAATGCCTCCATTGTGAGTCTCGTAACCTGACCGGTCCATCCAAGTTTGAATGACCCTCTGGATGGTGACTGTCAGCAGGTGGGACGTGACTGGAGGAGGTGGCTCCCTGGGGCCCTTCCCCTCTGCTTCCTCACTGCCATAAGGGGCAGCTTTTCCCTGGGGGCCAAGTGTTGTCCATCTATGGACTGAGACTCTGAAACCATGAACCCCAAATAAATAAATGTTTCCTTCTTGTCAGGTGTTTTGCTCACAATGACACAAAAACTGACTAAAACAGTAATYAAGGTCATTTGAAACTCTTTTCCATAAAACCTCATTTACTCCCCACAGGGATCCTATAAAACAGATACTATCATTATTCCCAACTGCAGATGGGGAAACCGAGGTCCAGAGAGGGTCAGTAACTTATGCAAGGTCACAGAGTACTTCCTCTGATCAGCCAGGGCATGGACTGCCAACACCTCTCTGGAAGCCCCTCTGCCCTTTTGGTTCTGGCAAATCTGTTATGGGGAGGGATATTACCCTGGTCTTCTGAGTCACCAAGATGTGACATTTCTAGGAGGGAAATGAGGAGGGAGCCAGAGGAAGCTGAGAGAAAGAGATGGAAAAAATGGAAAGAAAGGAGGTATGGAAACGAGGCGGGAGAGGATGGAGGCGTGGCTCCAGCTGAGGAGAGGGCTGGGGGCGTGGCTCCAGCCCAGGAGCAGGAGGGGGCGTGGCTCCATCCCAGGAGCGGGCAGAGTGGCCGGCTTCCCCTCCCTGCACCCCTGGGCGAGAGCTGGGGGCAAACCCGGGAAAGCAGGGCCTCTGCCCACCCCAGGGTCCAGCTGTCAGTCAAGCTCCTGCACGGGACATCTGAGAGGGGCCTTCCCGCGGCGGCTGCAGCTGGAAGTGCAGTGGCCTCTGAAACAAGAGCTGAATCCCAGCTGGAGGGCTTCCTCCTGCTGGAGGGCAACTGGGTGGAGAGGAAACAGGGACCAAACCGGCAAAGTCTCTGTTGCTTTGTGCTTTTAAAGAGGGTGGCAAATTCAATGCATCCACCAAGGATAGGGTAASGCTGGGGTAGAACAAAAGAGACTTCCTCCAAGCTGGAATGTGTCTGGTTTATCTCAAGCTAATATCAGTGCTCCCAGCAAGTATTTCCAAGCATGAAGCAAGCCAGTCATATGGGGAGGCGATAGGGAGGGGTGAGGACAGGGGAAAACCGGAACATGCTGTTCCTTACAAAAGGAAGCGGCCTTCACCGAGTTCCAGCCAACTGTATGCACACAGATATACAGGCCCAGCAGGGCGAGACTCCAGGCTCAAGGGAAGCAAGAAACCACGTCTCAAATGATTTTAAAACATGAATAGGCCAACTACACAYGTCTGATGATTGCCCTGAAATCTAGCTGTGCCAGGACCCGTGTGCTGTGGAGCAACCCACGGTTCTCTGTAGGAGGAAAGCCCCCAAGGTGCCCCAGGACCCAAGAAAGAGGCAGGCAGATTTCAAACTGCAGAGTGCCATCTCTTGGGAGAGTTACCCACTGGGCGGCAGTAGAACAGGTGGATCTGCACTGTCTGGGTCAAAGGGAGGGCTGTGCATTAGTTAAGATGAAAGTGACTTCATTCAAACAGAATGGAGCTGGTCATCTGAAGCTAACATCAGCCTGGCACCAGGGTGGATGACAGGTGTCCACATACCACTCTGATGGTTTTGTGCCGGGAAACTATTCAGGGAAAACAACCCGGGGCAGTGACGGGTGGTTAGGACRGTGGTTAGGACTCAAGATGGTCACAGTCACGTCAAGCCGATCACACGCCGTGGGCCTTTCTGTTGGGATGTTCTCTGTACCGCTTACGTACACAGCAGACTGTCTTCTACCCGGGTTTCCCATCTGGGCAGGGCAATCCAGGGCTCCCCTCCCACAGAGGGGGCATGTCTAGACAGG